CAACCCCCACCCCCCCCCCCCGGGCAGAGGGGGGGCAGGAGCCAGCGTGGAGAGTAAACAAACAACCCGGCAGCCCGACTTTCCAGGCTGGAGAGGGACAATACCTTTGTTATCTCACCTGCGTTTTTTCTATTGTGTTTTAAAGACTTTTTTTTTTTTTTTTTCTTTTTTTTTTTTTTTTTTTTTTGCCTCCTCTCGCCTGTCCGAGGGGCACAGGAACACCATCATCCCGGGAAATATTTTAAAATAAAAAATATCCCAGCCGACACCCCCGTCCCTCACCCTCCCCTCCCCGCACACACACGCACCCCCCCCCCTTTCTCCCGTGCACTCTCGATGAACCTGTGATATTGTAGCAATGGCCCTTGAAGTGCAGTGGGGAGGTGATTTAGGAGAATATTAAAGGCAATGTGGAGATTCGAAGGCGCCTCTCTCAGGGAGATCTGGAGAAATACGCAGCACAGATGGGCTGAGCAGATTAAACATTTCCGTCACATTGTTTTCAAATTGTGTTTGCGGTGCCCGAGGGTTGGTGCTGCGGTCAGAGCCGCGCGGGGCCGGGGGAGCCGCGCGCTTTCATGGAATAAATATTAATAGGGCAGTTTCAGGCGGGCTCCCCGTCCCGTCAGCGCCGCCGATCGGGTGCTGCCACCGCCATTGTCCCCCGGTCCGTCCCCCGGCGGCTGGGGGGGGCTCCAGCTGCACCTTCTGCCCCCTTCTGTGTCCCCCCCATGCTGGGCTGTGTGTCCCCCCCCTCCCCAGCCCCGGCCGGCCAACCTCGGGGTGCCCCAAGGGACGTGCGTCCCTCCTGCCCCATCCATGTCACTGTCCCCAAGGCAGGTGGTGCCACCACCACGGTGTGTGTGTCACCCAGAGCCTTGGTCCCTGGTGCTGCCCTGCTCGGCCGGGCGGTTGGTTGGTTGTTTTTAACGGGAAATAATTCATGGGGTAAATCCTGAACTCCTTTGGTCAGACCATCTCCCCACCGAGAACTTGTCTCCAGGAGGAGCCGCCCCGTTGTCCTTGCCAAAGCCACCCAGATGCCTCCCCTTGGCCCTGGTGGTCATTTCTGCCTGGCCTTCCCCAGCTGGAGACCGTCACCTTCCTCTCCCTCTGCTGCCCTCGAGTTCTGAGACCCTTATGTCTGCTGGTTTCTCCCCCCTGGGGTGGGATGTGGAGAGCCTGGTGGGATGGGACACAGGGATCCTGATGGAATGGGACACATGGACCCAGTGGGATGAGACACATGGACCCAGTGGGGTGAGACACATGGACCCTGGTGGAATGGGACAGAGGGTTCCTGGTGGAACGAGACACTTGGACCCAGTGGGATGAGACACACGGATCACAGCAGGATGGGACACATGGACCCCAATGGGATGGTTCACACAGACCCTGATGGGATGGGACACATGGACCCCAGTGGGATGGGACACACAGACTCCAATGGGATGGGACACCGTGGCCACCCCAGGTGATGCAGGAGCAGGCGCTGCAGGTGGAACAGGGGGAGGAGAAATGTCCCAGCCCCAGCTGCGTGTCCTCAGCTCCTCACAGCAGCTGAGAATTGAGTCATTAGGAACAAGTGGGGATCATTTGTTTTTATAGGGATTTAGCCTACAAAAGAGGAGCCGGGGGGTGGGTGGGTAATGCTGGGCCACCATCTGAAGTGAAGGGAGAGCATCACCCAAATTAACCTGGTGACGTGCCAAGGAAGTGCTGTTCCCAGCCACATCCCTCAGCTGCCACCGGCTCCGGTTCCCCCGAGGACAGGTATTTCCCCCTGGATTTCAGAGCTTCCCGTGGCTCCGGGATGGTTTTCAAGGTAAATAGATGTATAGCTGACCCGGTATAAAACTCCCCGGTGTCAGGCGACCCCTCGCACGCCCGCCATACCTCATGGAGGAATTAGATTCCTCCATTTTCCTAACAATAATGTATGACACACACGCACTAATAATGGGGCCGAGCAATCATAAACCGATAAGTCCCTGACTGATTGGCTTTTCCTTCGGCATCCATCAAAGCGTCATTGATCTTCTGTGCGAAGGGGGGGTGATGAATGGCCTCCCCGGAGCCCGACGGGGGTTGTTTACGAGGGCTGGTGAAGGAGCGTGGTGGCAAGGAGAGCTTGGGAGCCCCGGGGGGGGAGTAAATATCATCCCCGGGGTGTTGGGTGGAGGGAGAGGGGCTGGAGGGACGTTGGGATGGGACAGTCGGAGCTCGGTGGAGATGGGGAAGCGCTGCCGGAGAGATGTGGCTGCACCTTTGGGGTGTCACCAGGTGGTCACCCATCTGAGGCCGTGGAGGAGATGGTTGGCCACGTTCCCATTGCTGCTTCTGTGACCTCGGGCTTGGGCTGAGGGACGTTTCCCCGGATGGGGGGGATCTGCAGCTGGGTCCCCTTCCCCCTCCTCGGGAGAGCACCGTCTCTCCCCGGATGATGCTGGAGGAGCCGTGGTGCGAGGCAGGGACAGAACCCGGGCTGTGATTGTCGCTTTGTTGTTTTTTTCCCCCTTTTCCCTTCTCCCTGGAGCTGCATAAAAGCCTTTTACGGCCCCGTGCACCCACCTGCCATAAAAGCCCCGATTGCGGGCGATTATCGGAACGAGCGTCTGCTCGGGCTCTGCTCAGCACCGGGGGAACGCGGGGATGCGACGTGGAAAAGCACTTTGAGGGGTTTTCTTCCTTCTGGGAGAAAATCACAGCATTTCCAGAGCGGAGCGAGGCCACCACGGGGATGGCTGGGGGGGGAGAGTGGCCACCGGGGTGTTGGGGTGACCCCTAAATCCAGTTCTCTGTGAGATGCCCAGCCTGGAAAAGGGCACTGGGTTCCCAGTTTGCCCAGTCCTGCTGCCTTTCTGGGGACGGGGCAGAGCGATGGCTTTGCTCTGTGCCCTGGGTGATGCTCGGTGATGCCAGGGCTCCTGGCATGGCATCAGCACCCATGGGTGCTGCCTCCAGCACCTGATGGAGGTGAAGCTGGGGGGGAAAGGGGGGTGGCAGAACATCCCACTCCCCTCTCCCAGTGCTGCCGTACCCGCACGCTCAGGGCCTGCCAACCTCTCTGGAGCAATTATCTTCCCGATTAGTGGATTTCCAGTCCCTTCTGTGAAGTCTCAGCTAAATTACTTCCCCCCCCTTCTCCCCCTCCCTCACGCC